ACACCCGCCTGCACCCCTGCCCTGCACACACCGCAACTGCACACACCTACACACACCTGCACACACCTGCACACCTGCACATCTGAACTGCACACACCTGCACACCTGCACACCTGAACTGCACACACCTACACACACACCTGCACACACCTGTGCACATCTACACACACCTACACATGCCTACACACCTGAACTGCACACACCTACACACCTGAACTGCACACACCTGCACTGCACACACCTGCACTGCACACACCTACACACACCTGCACACACCTGTGCACATCTACACACACCTACACATGCCTACACACCTGAACTGCACACACCTACACACCTGAACTGCACACACCTGCACTGCACACACCTGCACTGCACACACCTACACACACCTGCACACACCTGTGCACATCTACACACACCTACACATGCCTACACACCTGAACTGCACACACCTACACACCTGAACTGCACACACCTGCACTGCACACACCTGCACTGCACACACCTACACACACCTGCACACACCTGTGCACATCTACACACACCTACACATGCCTACACACCTGAACTGCACACACCTACACACCTGAACTGCACACACCTGCACTGCACACACCTGCACTGCACACACCTGCACTGCACACACCTGCACTGCACACACCTGCACTGCACACACCTGCACACACCTGCACACAGCTGCACTGCACACACCTGCACACACACAGACACACACCTGCACTGCACACACCTGCACACACCTGCACACACCTGCACTGCACACACCTGCCCAGCTCAGGTGAACAATGTCCCCAGAGCCCTTTTTCAGGCACTGGGGCACCTCGTGCGCCCCCGGTTGTGCCTGGCAGGTGCAAACACCTGGAGCAGAGCTGTCCCGGCAGGCAGGTGAGCTCACCTCCGTCAGGATGGTGGTCTCGTAGGACGGCTGGTACTTCTCCTTCTCGTGGGGCGTTCGCTTCTCCATCTTCTCCCGATCCGTCTTCTGCTTCCGGTCGGCTCCTTTGGGCTGCACAGGGACAGGCACGGACAGGTGTGTGGGGAACACACAGGTGACACAGGTGACACAGGTCACACAGGTGAAACAGGTCACACAGGTGACACAGGTGACACAGGTGAGACACGTCACACAGGTGACACAGGTAACACAGGTCACACAGGTGACACAGGTCACACAGGTGACACAGGTGACACAGGTGACACAGGTCACACAGGTGAGACAGGTCACACAGGTCACACAGGTGAGACAAGTGACAAGGTGACTCAGGTGAGACAGGTGACAGGTGAGACAGGTGAGACAGTTGACAGGTGACAGGGGAGACAGGTGAGACAGGTGAGACAGGTGAGACAGGTGACAGGTGAGACAGGTGACAGGTGAGACAGGTGAGAGGTGACAGGTGAGACAGGTGACAGGTGAGACAGGTGACAGGTGAGACAGGTGAGACAGGTGAGACAGGTGACACAGGTGACACAGGTGACACAGGTGACTCAGGTGACACAGGTGACACAGGTGACACAGGTGACTCAGGTGAGACAGGTGACACAGGTGACACAGGTGACACAGGTGACTCAGGTGACACAGGTGACACAGGTGACTCAGCCTTCTTGGTGCTTGAGAGAGGGAAAAGGAGCAATTCTGGGAGAAGCTTTTCCTGAGAGCTTCAGCAGGGAAAGGGTGTGTGACAACATTTAACACACCTGTAACACCTGAACACACCTGTAACACCTGAACACACCTGTAACACCTGAATACTGAATACACCTGTAACACCTGAACACACCTGTAACACCTGAATGTACCTGTAACACCTGAACACACCTGTAACCCCTGAATACACCTGTAACACCTGAAGACACCTGTAACACCTGAAGACACCTGTAACCCCTGAACACACCTGTAACACCTGAATACACCTGTAACCCCTGAAGACACCTGTAACACCTGAAGACACCTGTAACCCCTGAACACACCTGTAACCCCTGAATACACCTGTAACCCCTGAAGACACCTGTAACACCTGAAGACACCTGTAACCCCTGAACACACCTGTAACCCCTGAATACACCTGTAACCCCTGAAGACACCTGTAACACCTGAAGACACCTGTAACCCCTGAACACACCTGTAACCCCTGAATACACCTGTAACCCCTGAAGACACCTGTAACACCTGAAGACACCTGTAACCCCTGAACACACCTGTAACCCCTGAATACACCTGTAACCCCTGAAGACACCTGTAACACCTGAAGACACCTGTAACCCCTGAACACACCTGTAACCCCTGAATACACCTGTAACACCTGAACACACCTGTAACACCTGTAACACCTGAAACACCTGTAACACCTGAATACACCTCTAACCCTCTGAATACACCTGTAACCCCCTGAATACACCTGTAACATCTGAACACACCTGTAACCCTCTGAACACACCTGTAACCCTCTGAACACACCTGTAACCCTCTGAACACACCTGTAACCCTCTGAACACACCTGTAACCCTCTGAACACACCTGTAACCCTCTGAACACACCTGTAACCCTCTGAACACACCTGTAACCCTCTGAACACACCTGTAACCCTCTGAACACACCTGTAACCCTCTGAACACACCTGTAACCCTCTGAACACACCTGTAACCCTCTGAACACACCTGTAACCCTCTGAACACACCTGTAACCCTCTGAACACACCTGTAACCCTCTGAACACACCTGTAACCCCTGAATACACCTGCATCTGCATCACCCACGTAGGGGGTGGGATTCTGGGGGGACAAACTGCACCTGGACACGAGGTCACAGGGTTGGCCTTGACTTTGCCACACCTGGAACACCTGGGTCCCTTCTCTGCCCAAAACTGGGGGGATTTCACTCAAATCCCATGGGAAGCACAGGTGTGGAACCTCCACAGGTAGCCAGGTGTTCCCCTGGCAGATACCTGAAGAAATTTAAACTTGGCTGTACCTGCACTGACAGGTGAAGGGATTTGGCCCAGGTAGACCAGGGGAGGGCCCAGCAGGACCCCAAACCCCACTGACCCCCCACGAGGTGAACAGGTGAGAAAAGAGGAGCCAAGGTGAGATTTTGGGGGTGGGACGGAGTCATGGGCACCCCAAGGTGTGACCACAGCGGGAACGACCCCTCCCAGCCCCTCCCATCACCTGCACCACCAGGCTGGGGCAGGTACTCCTAACAGCAGGAGGTGTCAGAGACACCAGCAGCCCCCAGTACAAACTGGGACAGACTCCCAGGTCAGTCCAGGTGGGAGGGGCCCGCAGGTACCTTGAACACCTTGATCTGGCAGCTGGCAGAGTGCAGGTGCTCCGTGTACTCCCCGCTCTCATTCTCCCTGAAGGTGTCGATCTGCACGCGGAAGGGAACCCCCTTCTCGCCGCCGTGCTTGCGCGGGGTGAACTCTGTGCTGATGCAGTGCACCTGGGGACAGGTGAGTTCCTGGGGGAGCACCTCCGCCAGCTGGGACAGCCCAGAGCAGAGCCAGGATCCACAGGGCAGCACCTGGGATCACCTGTCCCTCACCTGGATGAGGCACTGCCCACCTGTCCCTCACCTGGATGAGGAGCACTGCCCACCTGTCCCTCACCTGGATGTGAGGCATTGCCCACCTGTCCCTCACCTGGATGAGAGGCACTGCCCACCTGTCCCTCACCTGGATGAGGCACTGCCCACCTGTCCCTCACCTGGATGAGGCACTGCCCACCTGTCCCTCACCTGGATGAGGAGCACTGCCCACCTGTCCCTCACCTGGATGAGGCACTGCCCACCTGTCCCTCACCTGGATGTGAGGCATTGCCCACCTGTCCCTCACCTGGATGTGAGGCACTGCCCACCTGTCCCTCACCTGGATGAGGCACTGCCCACCTGTCCCTCACCTGGATGAGGAGCACTGCCCACCTGTCCCTCACCTGGATGTGAGGCATTGCCCACCTGTCCCTCACCTGGATGTGAGGCACTGCCCACCTGTCCCTCACCTGGATGAGGAGCACTGACCACCTGTCCCTCACCTGGATGTGAGGCACTGCCCACCTGTCCCTCACCTGGATGAGGAGCACTGACCACCTGTCCCTCACCTGGATGTGAGGCACTGCCCACCTGTCCCTCACCTGGATGAGGCACTGCCCACCTGTCCCTCACCTGGATGAAGACCGACGTCCTCTTGGCCGGATCCCACAGGAACTCCACGGTGTTGAGCTGCGTCGGGTTTGCGTGGGGGTCGATGATCCCCACGGACATTGGGATGTCTGTGGGGGGAACAGGTGAGGCTCACCTGGGACTCCCCACCTGCCCCAGCCAGGTGAGACTCACCTATGTCCAGGATCCTGTCGCCAGGTCTGTTCCACCTCCAGCCCTCCAGCTGCTGGTGCTCTGTGTACTGCAGCCGCCGGTCATGGAAAACCACCCGGAAGATGCTCTGGGGAAGGGGGAAACATCAGCTGGAGCTGCCTGGCACACCTGGCCAGATGTGCAGCCCTTCCCTGTGCCAAAAAGGGGTGAAAGGAACCCCCCCCGCCAGGTGTATCTCCCAGCCCTGCCCAGGAGCCAGGGCCCCAGAGAACACCTGGCTGGGATGGGCACACCTGGCCAGGGGTACCTGTGCCCTCTGCTCACCTTCACCAGCTTCCCGTTGATCTCCGGCAGCTCCCCGAGTTTCCTGTTGTCCAACATCCGGATCTCGTAGGATTGACCTGAGGGCAGGAGGGCACCTGAGGGTTTTCTGTCACCTGTACCTGTCACCTGAGCTCCTCATTCATTTGGGGTCCCACCAACCCAGAGCTTCTAGTTGTACCTGGAAGCAGCAAGTACAGCCTGAACTTGTAACTGCCATCCTGCAGAGCCACCCTGCACACACCTGTATGGACACACCCTGCACACACCTGTACGGATACACCCTGCACACACCTGTACGGATATACCCTGCACACACCTGTACGGATATACCCTGCACACACCTGTACGGATATACCCTGCACACACCTGTACGGATATACCCTGCACACACCTGTACGGATATACCCTGCACACACCTGTACGGATATACCCTGCACACACCTGTACGGATATACCCTGCACACACCTGTACGGATATACCCTGCACACACCTGTACGGATATACCCTGCACACACCTGTACGGATATACCCTGCACACACCTGTACGGATATACCCTGCACACACCTGTACGGATATACCCTGCACACACCTGTACGGATATACCCTGCACACACCTGTACGGATATACCCTGCACACACCTGTACGGATATACCCTGCACACACCTGTACGGATATACCCTGCACACACCTGTACGGATATACCCTGCACACACCTGTACGGATATACCCTGCACACACCTGTACGGATATACCCTGCACACACCTGTACGGATATACCCTGCACACACCTGTACGGATATACCCTGCACACACCTGTACGGATATACCCTGCACACACCTGTACGGATATACCCTGCACACACCTGTACGGATATACCCTGCACACACCTGTACGGATATACCCTGCACACACCTGTACGGATATACCCTGCACACACCTGTACGGATATACCCTGCACACACCTGTACGGATATACCCTGCACACACCTGTACGGATATACCCTGCACACACCTGTACGGATATACCCTGCACACACCTGTACGGATATACCCTGCACACACCTGTACGGATATACCCTGCACACACCTGTACGGATATACCCTGCACACACCTGTACGGATATACCCTGCACACACCTGTACGGATATACCCTGCACACACCTGTACGGATATACCCTGCACACACCTGTACGGATATACCCTGCACACACCTGTACGGATATACCCTGCACACACCTGTACGGATATACCCTGCACACACCTGTACGGATATACCCTGCACACACCTGTACGGATATACCCTGCACACACCTGTACGGATATACCCTGCACACACCTGTACGGATATACCCTGCACACACCTGTACGGATATACCCTGCACACACCTGTACGGATATACCCTGCACACACCTGTACGGATATACCCTGCACACACCTGTACGGATATACCCTGCACACACCTGTACGGATATACCCTGCACACACCTGTACGGATATACCCTGCACACACCTGTACGGATATACCCTGCACACACCTGTACGGATATACCCTGCACACACCTGTACGGATATACCCTGCACACACCTGTACGGATATACCCTGCACACACCTGTACGGATATACCCTGCACACACCTGTACGGATATACCCTGCACACACCTGTACGGATATACCCTGCACACACCTGTACGGATATACCCTGCACACACCTGTACGGATATACCCTGCACACACCTGTACGGATATACCCTGCACACACCTGTACGGATATACCCTGCACACACCTGTACGGATATACCCTGCACACACCTGTACGGATATACCCTGCACACACCTGTACGGATATACCCTGCACACACCTGTACGGATATACCCTGCACACACCTGTACGGATATACCCTGCACACACCTGTACGGATATACCCTGCACACACCTGTACGGATATACCCTGCACACACCTGTACGGATATACCCTGCACACACCTGTACGGATATACCCTGCACACACCTGTACGGATATACCCTGCACACACCTGTACGGATATACCCTGCACACACCTGTACGGATATACCCTGCACACACCTGTACGGATATACCCTGCACACACCTGTACGGATATACCCTGCACACACCTGTACGGATATACCCTGCACACACCTGTACGGATATACCCTGCACACACCTGTACGGATATACCCTGCACACACCTGTACGGATATACCCTGCACACACCTGTACGGATATACCCTGCACACACCTGTACGGATATACCCTGCACACACCTGTACGGATATACCCTGCACACACCTGTACGGATATACCCTGCACACACCTGTACGGATATACCCTGCACACACCTGTACGGATATACCCTGCACACACCTGTACGGATATACCCTGCACACACCTGTACGGATATACCCTGCACACACCTGTACGGATATACCCTGCACACACCTGTACGGATATACCCTGCACACACCTGTACGGATATACCCTGCACACACCTGTACGGATATACCCTGCACACACCTGTACGGATATACCCTGCACACACCTGTACGGATATACCCTGCACACACCTGTACGGATATACCCTGCACACACCTGTACGGATACACCCTGCACACACCTGTATGGATACAACCTGCACACACCTATAACCCCCTGCACACACCTGTATAGATACACCTTACACACACCTGTAACCACCCCACACACACCTGTACAGATACAGATACACCTTACACACACCTGTAACCTCCTGCACACACCTGTACAGATACACCTTACACACACCTGTAACCACCCTGCATGCACCTGTACACACACCTTACACACACCTCTAACCCCTGCACAAACCTGTACAGATACAGGTACACCTTACACACACCTGTACAGACACACCTTACACACACCTGTACATTCACACCTTAAAGACACCTATACTGATACACCTTACACACACCTGTAACCACCCTGCACAAACCTGTACAGGCACACCTTACACACACCTGTGCAGACACACACACACCTATACTGATACACCTTACACACACCTGTAACCACCCTGCACACACCTGTACAGACACACCTTACACACACCTGTACATTCACACCTTAAAGACACCTATACTGATACACCTTACACACACCCAGATCGCCCCCCCCACTCCCAGATCAGGCACACCTTACACACACCTGTGCAGACACACACACACCTATACTGATACACCTTATACAAACCTGTATCCACCCTACACACACCTGTCACCACCTTCCAGTACCCACACCTTCACCTGGTGAGACCCCCCAGGTGACTCAAGCTCCACCTGGGCAGAGCACAGCCAGGTGAAGGCACTGCCCCTTCCCATTTCCTATCAGGAACAACCCAGAAACCGGCAATTTTCCCAGGGAAACAACAACTCCCACAGGCAGACCGTTCCTGTTTGGGCGGTTCCCGGCGGTACCTGTGCAGGACAGGTGTGGCCTCACCTTGGTTGAGGTAGGTGAGGGTCTCGTCGTGCAGTTTGACGGCGGGGGAGGTGGCGGCGCACAGGACGTACTGGAACGGCAGCAGCTTGTCCTGGTTCTCCGGCGGCAAACTGGATTCCTCCTGCTTGAAGATGGGCAGAGCCAGGACATCGCTGCGGAGAGGGGCAGAGTCACCTGAGACAGGTGAGCTGGAGAGCGGGCTCAGGGACTCCTTCAATCCAACCGGGCCTCGGCACCTGGGGGAACAGCCCCCCCAGCACCCTGGCTCTGCCTCAGGTACCACCCGCTCACCTAACCCTCAACACCTGTCCTCAGGTACCACCTAACCCTCAACACCTGTCCTCAGGTACCACCTAACCCTCAACACCTGTCCTCAGGTACCACCTAACCCTCAACACCTGTCCTCAGGTACCACCTAACCCTCAACACCTGTCCTCAGGTACCACCTAACCCTCAACACCTGTCCTCAGGTACCACCTAACCCTCAACACCTGTCCTCAGGTACCACCTAACCCTCAACACCTGTCCTCAGGTACCACCTAACCCTCAACACCTGTCCTCAGGTACCACCTACTCTCCTGAAATACACCTGTGGCCATCTGAATACACCTGTAAGCACCCGGGCTACACCTGTAAGTACTGACTCCAACCACTACAACAATTCCAACTGTAACTCCAGCCCTGCTCCTTCCCTACTCCAACCACAGCACCAGGCCACCTGCATCCCAAACCCATCCCAACTGAACCCCAAACCCATCCCAACTGAACCCCAAACCCATCCCAACTGAACCCCAAACCCATCCCAACTGAACCCCAAACCCATCCCAACTGAACCCCAAACCCATCCCAAACCCATCCCAAACCCATCCCAAATCCATCCCAACTCAACCCCAAACCCATCCCAAATCAACCCCAAACCCAC